CCCCTGTCCCCACCCCTCGTCAAGAAAGCCGCACCCGCCACATGGCCCCGAAGAAGTCGCCCCCCATGGCGCCGGTCCCGGCCTGCGCATTGTGGCGAAAAAGCTCCAGTGGGGCCTCAACCACTGCCGTCGCCACGGCCGCCAGCACCGCCGCCGCCTGCGGCGCGCGCGCGCGAGCGCGGGTTCCGAGGAGCGTGTGACGGGCCGCCGCGCGCGCGCGCAAGCAGAGGGGTGCGGGCGCGCCGGCCGTGCAATGCGAGGGGCGGCGGCCGGCCGTCCCGCACGCATGCAACGTTCGGCGGCGCCCCAAGCGCTCGGCGCTCACGTGGCAACCCGCGGCAGCCGCGACACCCCTCATTCCCTCATCAACAACGCAAACCACCGCCCCGCGGGCCCAGGCGAGGGGACCACGAGGCCGCAGGCAGACCCAGGCGTTGCTTGAAGAGCGACACCACTCACTAGATTTGCCTTCATGCCCCCGGCGCCGCCGTGCCCCTCATCCGCGCCGCCGCCGCCGCCGCCCGCGTCCACCCCGGCGCCGTCCGCCCCACAGAGCGCGTCTGACACCGGTGTGAAATGTGACCCGCTCGCGCCATGAGACACGACCAAGTGGTGCTGCTGCTGCCGCTGCTGCTGCTGCTGCCCCTGCTGCTGCTCCTGCTGCCGCCCCTCGTCCTGTCGCCCCGCGCCCTCTGCCGGCACAACCGCCGGCCCTTCCCGCCGCGAGACGAGCCGCTTGGCCGAGCAGAATGACATGAAGTGAACCGCCCCCACCAGCACCGACGCCACCGCCGCCTGCCGCGCGCCGGCGAAGAGCTGCGCCGCCGCCGCGCGCGGGCCGAGGCGGGAGAGGGCCGCTATCACGACGCGTGCGGGCACGCCCTGCGCTTGGCAGCGGACTTTGATGGTGTCCTGTCAATAAGGAGAGAAAATGTTGGCATCGCGGGTTAGGATCTAGAAACACGGGTTTAGGGGTTTGATGGTGTCTTGTCAGCGGGGGTTTGGCGCGGTTTGGGGCGCGCGGCGCACCAGCGGGGGTCGGCGGGGCGGCGGCTAGGGCCGAGGGGGTGCGGACGCACGCCCGCGTTCCGAATCGACGGTCGGTGTGGCGCTGGCGTGGGCTACGCGTGTCGCGCCGGGCAGAGCGGCGGCAGGGGCGGGGTGCGACGGCCCGGGCGGGCCGCTCGGGGGCAGAGCCTCAGAACTGTCCCCCCCTGGCTCCCCGCCCAGCACACAATGGCGCATGGCAATGCGATGGGGCCCCTCACCAAAGGGTAAAGCAGGGATATTTGCGCCACCTCGCCCATGGCGCCCGCGAACGCCTCGATCGCTGCCGCGCTGAGTCGGAGGCGCGGCGGCGCACGCACATGCGCCGGCGCGGCGGCGTCGCCGCTGCCCCTGCGTCCCTGCTGCTGCTGCTGGTGCCGCCACAGCGCCGCGCTGCCGGCGGCCAGGCCGCCGCCGATGGCGCACGTGCGCAGGGCGGGCCGCAGCACCGCCCTGCCAGACCGAAACGCGGGGCGATCCGCCATCTCAGCGAACCGCGGCGGAGCACGCTCGCAGCACAGTGCGTGCCTGCTCAGCCGCCGCTGCGGCCAGCAGCCGGCCCTGAGCGGGCGTTTCAAGGCCTGGTGTCACGCCTAACGGACGTTTTCGCTGCAATGGGAGCGGGCCTGATCTGCAACACGATGTTTGCGACGCGCACACTCCGCGCGCTTGCAGATAATGCACGTATGGTGCGGACTGAGCGCAAGAAGCCGAGCTGTCCATCCCTTGTTCAGGCCCGCCGAGCTTGAAACCCGGAGCTGACGCAGTAGCGGCTGGTGACCCCGACCGGTGACACTGCTAGGTCAAACTCGCCGCTGCGGTGCGCGCAGATTCATGCCACACGAGGCATTGCGGCCATGCAAGGTAGCCAAAGGCACTCACATGCATATTGAATGAGTGTGTGGTCTGCAACCCACACAACCGTTGCGAAACCTCACAACCGCCATGGCTGTACATGCCAATCTTCAAAGTTCTTCTAGTGCACCATCCAGTTGTAATCAAGTACTAGTACCCTCAGCTTTCGTATGTTGCAATAATCACACCTCAGGCATCTGCGGTGGGCTCTGCTCAACAATAGTGTTGGCACACGCATGCACTCCGTGGCCCTGCCGATGCGCGCAGCGCATTCAAAATTTGCACACCCGGCTCGCTCCACTGTGCTGAAAGGTTGACCTCCCCGTGTGTGGGCTATCATTGACATTCAAGCGCTGCCGTTTCGTCGCTCGCCCGTGCATGGCCCAGGGCCGCCGCTTCCACCACCCACCAAGGCAGAGGGCGTGAAGGGAAAAAAATAAACAGGCGCACAGGGGGTCCATTGCTCGCTGTGAAACATGACTGTCTGCAAGCCAAGGAAATTTGCATCTGTGTTTTCCGCTCTGCCGTACTCGGACACCTGCCACCTACCCTGGCAGCCCTTTGGGGGTGGGGGCACGCGACAGTGCAGGGGCGCGCGTGCTACCGCTTCGGCCTCACCCACCAACCCACCCAACCACCCTCCCACCAATTTTCAGGCCCTGCACATGTGCTCACCATCAAAGGGCATGAATCTTGGTGCATGGACACGTCGATGAGTATCGTGTGTTGAAGCCATCACAACAAGCGCTCCAGCAGCTCACCAACAGGTCGCACCGCTTGGTTGGAAGAGCGAGCCATGTAGACCAGCATGAGTAGCGGTATTATCAAACATCAAACATATGATGAGATGGGAAGGGGCGAGGCCCCGGGCGCGCTGATGACTCTCCTGTGTCCGGGCTCGGCCCAGTCCCCCAGCCAGCTGCTGGCACCGGGTGTGTCGTGCCGATCGGACGACAACTAGTTTCTGTTGAATTTGGACAACGCAATTGATTTTCCTGCGGCTGGTTTGCCGTACTGAGATGGAGCCTGTCGACGGGCCTTGAAACCAGGCAGCTATGGCGCCGTTGATCACGGTGCTGGGCGTTTTAGCATTCCTGGCTTTGCTGCCGGGAGGGGCGGGAGGCCCGCCCGCGGACGAGTCCAGGCAACGAGCCCCAAGAGAGGTGGGTCGGTGTGTGGGCTTGGTGGGCGCTTCAATCGTGCCTGACCCGTGGTGTAGTTTTCTACATGCCAGCAGCCAGGCCAAAGGGGAGTGTTGCGCTGCGCTGGTTGCGGCACCTGCCCGGCCGCTGCAGCAGAGTGATGCAGCAGCCGTGCCCAGGCGCACCAGGCGCCCGGCTTCCACGGCCCCTTGCCCCGGCGGCCCGCGCTCTGCCTGACGCGGCCCCCGGCCGCTGACGCCTGCAGTTCAACGCCGCTGAAGCAGCCAAGGCGTACGCACTGGAGTGGAGCATGGAGGCGACAGCGCACATCGCCTCGCTGGTCGTGCGAGATCAGCACTGCAAGGTGCGACGGCCGCCGCGGCAGGCATGACCAGCGAATGCGCCATGCAGGCACGGCCCCAGCGGCGGCATGCGCTGACGCATGAATGGCTAGGGGAGTTGCCAGGCAGCAGCGGGCCGCGGCGGTGCACGGCGCATGCGCGAGGGCGGCTTGGCGTCGGCGGCTGGAGGTTGGTGCGTCCGGCTGCGCCGCCGTCGCGCCTGGGCGGCCCGTCGGCCGCGCCCGGCCCTAGCTGCGCCCTGTAGCCCCCGAACCTCTGGCGGCGCCTCCCCTCTTCCAAGGCGTGCCAATGCAGCTCGTCCCCCGCGCCGCCGCGCTGTCCTGCGCTCCCCACCGCCCCGCTCCCCGCTCCCCACCACCGCAACCGACCCCTTCCGCGCCTGCAGAGCGACCTCACCGGCTGCGACCTCCCAGAGAGTGCGACGCACGTAGTCGGGGTGCTCTCAAAGTGGGCGGCGCCCGACGCCGGCTGGGACCGCGTGCTGTCGTCGGTCTCGCTGTACGACATCGCGCGCCACGCGTACCAGCAGGCGCAGTACGACGAGGCCATCATAGCGCTGGAGGAGTCGCTCGCGCTGCGGCTGTTCGCCTACGCGGACCAGCCGACGCTCGACAAGTGGCAGCAGGCGCGCGCGCGCGCGCGCTCGGGAGTGCTCGGCGGCGCCCTGACGGGCTGGGGGGCGCTTGCCGGGCGCGCGACCTGCCCGCCGCTTGGCAGGCGTCGTCCTGTTGGCCGGCATCGGAGAGCGCGCCCTCGGCGGGGCTGGCATCCGAAGGAATGGCAACAATTCGTATCACTGCAAATTCAGCTGAGCGGCGCGGAGCGCGAGGAGCCTCGGCAAAGCGGTCCCCCGCCTCCCTCCCCCGCCTGCGCCACCCCGCAGGGGCTGGTCCTGCCGGGCAGCCTGTTCCGGCGCCAAAAGATGGACCTGGCCAACATCCTGGTGCTGCGCTCGGACTGCCTGGTGCAGCTGGCGCAGGTGGGGGGAGGCGCGGGGCGCGCGGCGGGCTCGCGCCTTCCCGCTGCGGCCGGCCAGTTGCTTTGCATGCCTCGCATGTGGCAGTAGCCGCAGCCCCTGCACGTCCAAGCCATGCGGAGCAAATGGGGCTGCAGTAGTGCTGCATGCCGCTGCGGCGGGGTCGCGGCCCAGGGGTGCCGTCAGCCCCGCGGCCCGGGGATGGGCGCGTGGCGACCCGCTGCCGGAGCGCGCTGCGCGGCACGCGCCTGGCGAATGCGTGCAGGCTTGGCAGCGGACTGCACGTGATCATGAAAGCACTCGGCACACACACACACACACACACACACACACACACACACACACACACACACACAAACTGACACACACTCTCACACATACACGCGCACGCACGCACGCGCATGCACCCCCCCCCCACACACACACACACTCATGTACACACACACAAACTGACATACACTCTCACACACACAAACTGACATGAACTCTCACACACACAAATTGACACACACTCTCACACACACCCACACACACACACCACCCCAGGAGCAGCAGGACGTGGACGACCTCACAGAGGCCACGGAGCTGCTCAACCTCGCGACGGCGCTGCTTAAGGCGGCCAACGAGCTCGTGCCAGACAGCGTCAACGCTCTGCGGCGGCGCGCGCAGACGGTGCGGCTCTTGGGGCTTGGGGCTGGAGGCGGGCGTCGTGCGCGATTGGAGGGTCGGATGAGTTTGAACGCGTGCATGGGCCCGCCGCGCTTCCTGTGCTGCAGGTGGCCAAGGTCGCGCTGGACCTGCTCCCGCGGCTGAAGCCAGCGAGGGTCGCGGAGGTGCTCTCGCACTACGGCGTCTCCTGCCCGGCCGGCAAGCCCGGTAAAGGCGGCGGCGGCGGCGGGGGCTGCGCGGGCGGCGGGATGGAGGGTCTGGCGCGGCTCGTGCCGCTGCTGCGGCTGCCCGTTGTCGTCCGCGGCGCGGGCGCGGGCGCGCGGCTCGAGGCGCCGGACGACCCGTTCGCGTCGCACGTCACGGCGCTGCTGCGGCGGCCGGCGGAGCACGTGGCGCAGTACATGCAGCGGGTGTTCTTCCGGCTGCTGACGATGGTGCCGATGGACTATTTAGCGGAGTTGGACGTGGCCTGCCGGAAGCGCAACCCGGCGGGGCGGTGCGTGAGCTACCTGCCGCACTGGGTGACGGCGCAGGCGATCACGGTGGACAAGCGGACGGGGCTGGTCCATGTCAGCAGCCCCTCCGCCTGCGGCGCGGGGGACGACGACGAGTGCGGCTGCTGCGGCAGCGGCGGCGGCGGCGAGGGCGGCGGCGGCGGCGGCGACGGAAAGGCGGCGGCGTCTGCTGCGGCGCTGCTGCCCGCAGCGGCGCGGCGCGGCGGCGCGGCGGGCGCGTGCGTATGCGGGCTGCGGCGGCTTGACGCGGACGGGGCCGTGGCGGGGCCGCCGCTGGCGGGCGGGCACTATGACGAGAGCGGCGCCGGGATGCAGCTCTGCGGCTTCCTTCATATCCGCGCCATCCCGCCTGGCGTGGAGCTGCCGAGCAGCGGGGGGTCTTTGACGCCCGAGGAGCAGCGCGAGCTGCAGCGCAAGGCGGCGGAGGGCGCGGCGGCCGAGGCGCGGCCGGGCGCGCGGCCGGCGCCGTTCCAGGGGGTTTACTATTACTATTACAACGACGTGCCCGCGGTCATCGACAGGATAGTCAACACTTTTGACGCTGACGAGGCGGAGTTCCTCATTTTTCAGTTGGACGACCTGACGGGCGCGCGGCGGCTGCGCGGCATGGGCATCCCGCCGCCGCCGCCGCCGCCGGAGGGCTGCACGGAGACTCGGCTGCTGGAGGGCAAGGCGCCGGCCGGCTGCTCGGTGCTGCTGCCCAACTTCGGCCCCTGCGCGACGGCCCCGCTGAAGCCGCCGCGGCGCCGCGCGCCGCTCGCGGCGCCGCCGCCGGGG